GCATATATATATGTAACTATTTTAAATTATTAATAAAGATATAAGCAAGGCCTCACCTTAATACTAAAAAAAAAAAAAAAAAAAACTTTTAAGTAAGAAGTACTATTAAGCAAACTATTAGATTATACTAAAAAAAAAGAATATTAGACTGAACTTGATATACTAGAAACAGATTATAGTTCTTTTAAGTTATCTGAATTAAAAGTTTAAAAACAAAGTAAGAGTATATTAAAATACTAAAGATTAGCTATAAAGTAGGTACTATAATATAGATAAATTTTACAAAAGTAAGTCTTTGTTAATAGACTATAAAGTAAATAGATAGTTATTAAAAAAAGCTTTTTAAGTAAAAGTATTAACAAAATATATTAAAAGTACTTATAATTAGTAATATATAATTTTTTCTGATAAATATAGCAACCTAGTAAAGTGAACAGATTGTTAACCTCTAAGTGGCAAATCTAGAGTTTAAATTTCACAGATAATGAATTTTGAAATTTATATTTATATTATAGTAACTATCTTTGTTAATCAGTTAAATTAGTATATCTGTAACCTTTAGTTGTACTATCTTAAATAGGAGCTTAGGGCATTTATGCAAAGTATAATATTATATTTATATAAAGGAATATTAATAACTGGTATTGCATAAGACTTTGGTGCAAACCTATAATAAGACTACTAAATATAAAAAGTAAAAAAAACTAAAAAATTAGAAACCTATTTAAAAATTCTGAATAAAAATATAATATAAAACTTTTGACAATGCTGTTGAACTGATAGAAGTCTATAAAATACTTTCAAAAAGATAAATAGATAAACTAAATAGCAAGATATATAGAGAAGCATATGACCAACCAGAATGTCAGAATCATTAAAAGAAAATAGATACTAAGATATACCATACTAGGCTATTTAAATTAGAAGTCTAAGAAGTCTTGTTGGTTTTGAATAGCAGTTAGTAAAAGATAATAAAGAAGATATTAGAAAGATAAATTCTAGAATTTTAAATAAATTTTACAAAGATATAGTAGTTTAATAGTTAGCTTTGATTGCAAGTAATAGTCTAGGTTAAAATGATATCAGGTCAATTGTAAGTATAAGATACAAAAGGTTCTAATAAGTTTTAGTACAAAATTAAATATAACTTAGTAACTATGGCATATCTTTATTGATTTACCAAAATTATTAGTAGGATGTAATAAATATAAGATTAAAGTATTTAAATAGAGAACCTATAGGTAGGTTCTAGGTATAGCAACTAATATAGAACTTTTAGATGAACTACTTAAATTAGACAATAACTAAAGTTATATAAGTGCCTAGTTGTACACTTTTTTTATAATTGTCTCTGTATCTATTATGTTAACAGATAATAATTAATATATATTATTAATAAAATACTAAGTCACATGTATTTATCTTAACATCTAAAAAAAAAAAAATTTTTCTGACAAAACTTTTATTGAGTTTAATAAACAATTATATTAAATTAGGATATAATGTCTTAAAAATAAAAGACATAAAAATGAGTACTTAATTCTAAATTTTAAGAATAGAGGATTAGTAATAATTTGAAGTTGTTTTGTTTGTAGAATCAAGAGTTTTCTTGTTTTTTTTGATAAATACAAAAGACAAAAAAAAAATTAATAAAAAAATATATCTTAAACTTTTAATAAACTATTTATCATTGTTTTATAAAAGAGCTAAAACATCTTGTTTATTAATAGATACAAAAATAATGTTTTAATAAAATAATAAGCTAATATATAAAGTATCTAATTGGCTTGAAAACAAAAAAATCTCTAAATTAAACTGGTCTACAAAATCTTCTAATCTTAATTTGATCAAAAATAATTGAAAGATATTAAAGAATAATATTCAGAATCGAAAAGATTTTCTAAAAAAAATAAATGATTTTAAAATCATCTTAAAAAAAAAGTAATCAAATTAAATATATTACTTTTTTTAAAGTTTGTAAACTCAGTCTTAGGAAGAATTAAAACAGTATTAAAAGCAAAAAAAAAACATTTCAAATATTATTTAGTTAGAAAAAAATATATATATATATTGTAAAAATAAAATATATTATGTATTTAATTGTAATTTTGTTTAATAAAAAATTAGTTATTACTTTTGTTAATAACTATATAAAATATGATACTATTAAAGAAAACCTGTTATTAAACTTTTAATTATATTATTTATTCAGTTTATTTATTTTGAGAAAATTTATCATTAGAGTTTAATTTTTCAAATGATATTTTAAAAACAAATTAAATACAAAATATAATTAAAAACCTAATGACAGATTTTCTCTTGATAGTATTTATATATGCAATAAAATAACTATATAAGAAAATTATTTTGTAAGTATATAATAATTTACTATTACATATATATAGTTATGTTTCATCAAGATAATTTGCCAATATATAAAATATCTGATTGACTTAAAAACAAAAAAATTCCTAAATTAAACTGATCTACAAAATCTTCTAACCTTAATTTAATTAAAAATGTTTGAAAAGTATTGAAGGATAATATTTAGAATCAAGAAAACTTTTCAAAAGAAATAAATAATCTCAAAATCATCTTAAAAAAAAAATAATCAAAATTAGATAAGTTGATTTTTTTAAAATCTGTAAACTTAATCTTGGGAAGGATTAAAACAATATTAAAAACAAAAGAAGAACATTGCAAATATTGATTAGTTAGAAATATATATATATATATAGAGTTTAAAAATTTCATGCACCTGCATAGCCATGCACCCCTTTTAAATTAATATGATTGGCTAATTTTTATTATTAGAAAATATTAATATTTTTATATTAAACATCAAAAAACATAACATATACATCTTGTAACCTTCAATAAAATCATTAACTAAACTAAAACTAAAAGCTATAATTAACCAATATACAATAAAAGTTCGATATAGTAAAAAATTTTTGAATTCCGAATTATTAAACTCTAACTTGATATAATGAAGTACATAGTATTTTCTTGATACAAGCTATAGCTATTTGTGAGAAAATCTGAGGATTATTCTCATAAAATCTGTAAATGCATAGCCTTTATACTAGAGATGCAGTAACTGTTATACTTATGTTGTAACTAGTTACAATATATGTTTTAGCTAGTTATGGCCTAAGTCGTAACAATTTCAAAGATTAAAACTTAAGTTTTAGCATAAAAAATTTAGATATACTTACCAGTTTGTATTAACATAAGTACAGAAAAAACTCATACTTAGCGATCATATGATTAATTAAATGATCATCAAATTACAGAATTATTACATCTTACAATAAAGATTATAGTAATATATATCTATCACAAAATTAAACTTTTCATCATATAATAATACAATAGAATAAACCATTTTATTGAAAAAAATAAATTGTTACATAAATAAATAGTTTATTAAAACCACACCCCTTATCTAATTATTTTTTTGAACATCTAGGCTGATAATGTCCATACTCTCCACAATTTTCACACTGATTCTGACACTTAGCTGGTATTGATTTCAATTCTTCTAGAACTTTTGGAGCATCCTTTTGCTTTATACTTTTTAGGGTTTTAAAGAGATATTTCAGTTAATGGATTATTTTTTTTATCATCTTTATTGTTATCTGAGTCATTATTATCATTATTGCATGTCTTATCATCATTATTATCAGAGCTATCCACTAACACATCTTCTTGCAATTTAGTTAATAAATCCTGTAGTTTTTTAAGAATGTTATGCCAACAAAATCGAACTGCCCTTTGTGTAATATCTCATGCAACCCCTACAGCTCTCTATACAATTTTTATTCACTAATATCCTCTTTTCTTTTATTTCGAAGATCAGCTATAGGTGTAAACAATTTATTGGTATTATCTCTCATTAGCTCTGCAAGTTGGTATTGAAGATAGTTTTTACTAAATCGCATAGCAACATAATAGGGCTCTTTTTGTAAACTGCTATGAATATCATTATACCATCTTTTATGAATATGTGTAATATGAAATGCAGCTACAGGACTACATAGTATCACCTGAAAAAAGTGGCAACAAACTATTCCATGACTTACAAGCTCTAAGCAGGAACATACATAAGTTTTATTAGAAAGAAATATTACAAAATAACAAAATTTTGATGCTATAATTGTGTGAATAGCCCAGGTTTTCTCAATTCTATTAACATTCATATTTCTTAGTATATAGTTTACAGAAACCTGCATTACATCTTTATTATCTTCAATAAATTGTGTAGTATCTAATTCAGGCTTAAATAAAAAATTCTGTAAGTATAACAAGCCAATTAGAACAATAAATTTAAAGACAGTATAATGCATATCTCTTGATATTTAATTAGCTCAGCTTTTGTAATAGAGGATGCTTGATAATTTAAACAACTTTTAACTTCAATATGTTGAACTTTTAGCATCATAGGTATAAGAAAACGACTCAAAGCCTTGTCAACTTTGGGAAACAATGCTTGTAGTAACATAATAACAAAAGACATTAATGAAATTTGGGTTTTCCAATAAATATATTTTGTTTTGTTGCTTTCTTCATTTATACTTGTTTCTAAAGCTTCAGAAAGTTTCATAAGACTAATATTAGAGTTTAAACTAATCGCTTTATTTAAGCATTATAGTTCTTAACTCTTAACATTGTCTGAATACCAGCTGTAAAAACTTTAGCTGTGTATGCATGTACCCATGCATGTTTTGATGAATATAATGTTTATAGATACTTAATAATCCTAGGCTCATTATACTTTTCAGTTAATTGTGCCCACTTATGTTCAAAAATATTTGGAATAAGTAAATTTCGAGCCATATAAAAGTTCTTAATAAATTCAGTATATTGTTGACCTAATTGGACCTCAAGATTTCTAGAAAGATTTTGTGAAATATGAAAAATACAATGCATAGCATAAAATTTTTCATACTCCTCAGATATAGCAAGGTCCTAAGCTAGAACAGCATCAGTCATAACAACCGCAAGTACACAACTATTTGTAGCAAGTTTCGTTTGATGTAAAACCCATCGGTAAGAGTCTGCTGACTCATTATTCATAAGAGCACATCTGACTAACCAGGAAAGCCCATGATTATCAACACATAAAAAAAGTGAGAGGACCATGTCATAGCAATTTGTTTTAGCAATATTATTGTTTAAAATAATATCACTAAACTTCATTCAGAGAATAATTTAATTAGAGGACATCCAAAACAGTCTTCGGAGTCTATGTGTTTCTCTGTTCCAATCAATTGTAATATACCAGCAAGGATCTTCTTCTTTCTTCCTTAATAAATTCTTATATAAGGATGCAGCATCATTTGAAATGTCTTTTCGCTTCTCACAATAAAATTTTGCAATTGCTTTGTGAACTTTGGAAAGATAAATTTCATGATTGGGAAATTCTTGCTCTAAAGCTTTTTTAATCTGTAATGATTTTAGTTTAATCACATTAACATATAACTCTACACATTTACACATTTCTTGAGTAAATTCAATGTTATTAAAAAATCTCTCTTTATTAAGAGATAGTCTATGATTATGCATATTACTTAAAGTTGTAATATAGATGTTGCCATGTAGATTGTTCTTTGTTGGTTGTAACAAGTTTATATGCCATAGGCACTTCATATATTTGGTATTTGTTTTCTTAACCAATTGCTTGTTTCTTGGCTTATACTTATCACTATACTTATAATCTATTGTTTGTTTGTGTATAACCCTATTTGAAGTTTTTTCACTGCAGCCTTTTCTTAATCCAAATCCTTTTTGTTGAGCATATATTGTTATTACATTTAATGTTTTTTCCCAACTTTTAAATATTCCTTCTTTATGTAACTTTTTTTTAGAAAAGTCTAACTTCTCATTTTCCTAGACAACAACTACAGAATTATATGTTGACCTATCATCACACTTAAGATCATTCAAGTCATTGTTCTTATTATGCATTATAGTAAAGCATGTATATAAAATAATATGAATAAAAGTAAGTATAGAGAATAAGTAAATATAAGCATTAATATAATATAAATTATGATATCCTTATTACCTATAAAATATTTACTTCTGTCGAGACTAAATTGTATAACATTACAATTAAACACTTAAAGATTTAAGTGTTGCTTTAGTATATATAATTTGGCTTTTTGCAATATATATTAATAGGTTCTTGTTAAGCATACCTTTATTACAGATTTATCTTTGTTGTAGTTATCCTTATTTTTGTCAGAATTATGCTGTAATTATGTTTTGTTTAGTTGTGATTCTGCCTTATTTTACTGTGATTCTGCCTTATCTTTGTTACAGATATATTTGTTTTTATTACAGCCTTTGCTGTAAGGTAATACAGTACTTTATTTTTGTTATAGGGTATGCTTTACTTTTGTTATAAGTATTCTTTATTACTGAGTTTATACTTTGTTGTTTTCTTTGTTACTGGGTTAAATTACTTTGTTGCTTTTGTCTGTTCCTTTATTACTACATCAATTTTTATTAAAGTTCTCTCTTATTTATAAAGTGTCATAACCAAGTTGATTTTATTTTTTAAAAAAAAATCGCCTGCTGCTTGTTGTCATTTTAAAAAGATAATGTAAATATGCTCAAGTGTAGTTATGCGTATAGATATTTTAATCATTCAATTAAAATTGGTGTTGTAATAATTAGCAAAAGATTTTGATTGGTCTGCATGATCAATCAAATTTAATTTGAATTCATTGAGAAGCAAGTTTTGAAAAAATTTTTGTCATGATGATTACCCAGACGGACATGTTGCAGTATCTAATATTTGTAATCCTAACACTAACATTCTGAAAGTTTAAGACACTAGACGCCTGAATTTTAAGGATAATCTGCTGTGAAACTATTTACAATTTAAGGGGTGCATAGCCACACAAGTGCATGAAAAACATTTTCCCATATATATATATATTGCAAAAATGAAATATATCATGTATTTGATTGCAATTTCATTTAATAAAAAATCAAACATTACTTTTGCTGATGATTGTATAAAATATGCTGCTATTAAAAAAAAACCTGTTATTGAACTTTTAATTATATTTTTTGTTCAATTTGTTCATTTTGAGAAAATTTATCATCGGAGTTTAATTCTCCAGACGGCACTCTGAAAACAAACTGAACACAAAATATAATTAAAAACCCAATGACAGGTTTTCCCTTTGCAGCACTAATAATGTAATAAAGTAACTATATAAGAAAATCATTTCGTAATTATGTAATAATTTACTATTACGTATATTCTTAACAATATATAGTTATCGTTATTGGATGCGAAATTTAATGTCACCCCGAAGAGGCCCAGAAATGACGCATATTAAATTCGCTGCCAGATAATTTACTATTCGCAATAATTTATTACAGTATTATTAATGAAGAAAGAAAGTGTATTTTTTAATTTATTACATTTTTTCGTAATAACGTATTCACCTAATATATATTAGACTTTTATGCTATCTAACGACACGCAATGCAATGACGTTACATAACCCGAACCCCGGCACTACGAATTACTTGGGTACTATCGAACGTGTCATACACAGAATATTGCATATTAGTAAAAGCAAAGAAAATAATAATGAAAATTTTTAGCAAAATTGTCGCAATAGATAGTCGTATGGTAAACTCAGAAAAGTTGTAAATCCAGATTGAAAATTTAGATAAACTAGTAAGAAAAAACAATGTGTTTATTTTCACAATACAATAATGTGTTAAATTTTATGTTTCTACGTAATAGTAATAGATTTTTAGAGGTTACACATTCAACCGGTTTGATACGAGTAGTAAAACCTTGACCCGGTTGAACCGTTTTGACACGGGAGACCCGGTTTACTATAACCTAACCTCTGTTTGTTTGTTATCTTCTTTTTCACCGGTTTCGTTTTCTTGTTTTTCACCGTTTTCCAGTTCATCTGATTTACTTTCATCACTTGAAATCAGTTTCTTTGGTTCATTATCATGTTTAATGGCATCTTCTTCATGTTTATTGGAATCTATTTTTTCACAGGTTTCGTTATCTTGTTTTTCACCGTTTTCCAGTTCATCCAATTTACTTTCATCACTTGAAATCAGTTTCTTTGGTTCATCATCAAGTTTATTGACATCTTCGTCAAGTTTAATGATATCTTCAACAAGTTTATTAGAATCTTCGTCAAGTTTATTGGCATTTTCCAGTTCATCCAATTTACTTTCACCACTTGAATTCAGTTTCTTTGGTTTATCATCATCATCATCATGTTTATCGGCATTTTCATGTTCATTAGAATTTTTATGTTCATTAATATCTTTCCCTTCAGTATCAGGTTTATCAAAATCTTCTGCTTCATTATTAGATGATTGATCTTTTTCTTTTTCATCTTGTTGGGTTTCCGATTCATTACCAGGTAATGGTGGGAAATATAATGGTAATAATTCTTCATATGCAATTTTATTTTCATCTTCAAACACACAGAAAATAATTCTATCAACCTAAAATAATATTAATTAATTTTAAACATAAAAATATATTAATAAATTTTAACATAAATTTATCATTATAAGGATTAAATTATAAACTCAATTTTTATAAAATAAATATATATATTTTATAATACAAAAGATAGTAAACAAACCTCCTCAAGATTTTTATGATCTTCCAACCATTTCCTTGTGGTTTCAAGGGCAACACGACCAGCAGGATAACGTGGATACCCATAAACACCTTTTAATATGATCAATAAAAAAAAAAGCGTTTAAAAAAAGCAATAAATATATAAATGAATGAATGGATGAAGAATTTACGAAATATAAATATGAAACAGACCTGTACTAATATTTGAAAATGCCTTAAATATAATCAAATAAATAATTTGTTTAAATTAAATAATATATTTTTGTATATATATATAATAAGATAATAACTCACTATGCTTTTTATATTATTTTCAGTCATAACTTCATAAGATCGCTCATAAGCACTACGAAGAAGACCTTCTTTTTCACCAATCGGACCAACAGTATGAATAACATCTAAATTATATATACCAATGAAATTATAGACGTTGATTTTTTTTTTAAAAAAAATATTAATATGGGCTAGGCGCTATTTAAAGGGAGAAATTGACAATTTTTCTCCCCCCAATTTTTTATATTAAATCAATTTGGAATATAGAAAAATAATTATAAAGTATAATACTTTTAAAGTTTCTATTTTTCTTAAGATTTATTATAAAGTTTTTATAACATAAAAAATCAATTTTTTACAGATGTGATTATTATTATCATTATTATTGTTTTTAAAATTTCGCCCTTTTTCCTAGCATTTAGCCCATATATACATATATATAAGAAGCACATACGTTTAGCTGGTAACTCATATCCTGTAAAGAAAGAAAAAAAAAATTAGAAAAGATTAATTTAAAGACAAGGAATTATATGACAAAAATTTTAATGTACCTTTAGTTATTTTGGCATCCTGAGAGATAAATCAAATTTGAAATTTTTAAGATTTCCCGAAGAATCAAATGATATAAAGGTAAATTAAATAATCACCCCGGTTCTACAACCATCTAAATCCCAACATTCTTTTCGAAGGCCAGGTCCAGCAGCTCTTAATAAAAGAATTATAAATAAAGAATGAATATTAAATGAAAAAAAAATGAAGATGGTAAGTAACAAAAAGAACCGATAAAATTAATTTTACCTATGAATGGCACCATCCACTATATAGATAAAAAGGTTGAATAAATTAATAAATGGGTATTATCAATAAGGTTAATACTATGAATAGAAAAAAGGTACCTCCGCCACCGCCTAAAAGAGACTCATTAGCGGCGTTAACTAATAAATAGCATAAATTTAAAAGATAAGTGTTATTAGTAATGACTCAACGCTAACATTTCAAAAAGAGATAAACAAACCTATTGCATCGACCTTTAGTCTCGTAATATCGGCTTGACTTTTAAAACAAAAATTGACGATAATAGAAATAAAATGGTCAGCCTAGAATATTTCCTTTCAAAAAGTAAAATACACTCACATAAGAGAGATTTTTTCGTTAAATGTCTCATTATAAGAGTAGGAAGGAATTGCTTGAGCTAATAATATTTAAGAATAAACAGTTATGTTTAACTAAAAAATTCGAGATCAGAACTTATTAGGATTAAACAATCAGCATACATTTTGATTTCCTTGACGAACGCGGTTTGATTGAACCATTTTCATATAAGTATTTCAGCGTAGGTATTTGACTTAGCTCGATTTCACTCATGACTTTTTTATGAGCAGATCGAACAGATCGGTAAGTATTTTGGAGAAATGACACAAAGGCCTTTGAATTATTTGACCTGTAGATCATTTTACTACGTATGCAACATAATCTATTACAGTATTACGTATCAGGTATGACATAATACGGTAACGGTAATAGCATAACAATAAGTACTGAAGTACCTGAAGTACAAAGTAGTGTAAAAGATAACAATAGTACTAACACGTGACTTAAATATTCGCGTTCATTTTCGATAGAATTAAACATGAATAGTTAATTATATAACGATACCATACTAACAGCAAAGTTTTCTAGAATGTTATTTATTATCTGTTATCATTATACAGTACTGTACATAAAATATATATATTTTTATAATCATCTAGTATATACGTATTACCAGTTACATACACACATACTGATACGTATGTACTGTACGTACACTTATGTATGTATCAAAAAAAATCAAATTTATTAAAATTTTATACTATGTAAACTATGTATGTAATTAAAAGAGATAGAAAATATAATGAAAATTAAATTTTATAATTTTTTTTTTTATTACCAAAGTATATTTTATATAATATTTTCATCATATTTTACTAATTTATTAACTTTTTAGGTTAACTTAAAATTTAGATAATTATTTTATTATAAAAAAAACGTTATTTTTACATATTTTTACATATTTTTTATATGATATAACAATGACGAAATTTCTTACTAGAAACTTCACAATTTTTTTATATAAATGGGATTTTTTTACTTTTTTTTTTTTTACTTTAAATTAAAAAAAATCACTATCATCAAAACGGCTTTCTTTTTCTTTTCATCTTCAACCATTCCAGTTGACAATTATTTTTCAGAAGTGTCTAAAACACTACTATTCATATTCCTTGTTCTTTGTGTCTCTGTCACCATTGCTATGGCATTGACATCATTTGGCAATTTCGGTCCTCGAGTTGGTTCTTTGACAACACGTGATCCTTATTGGGGGGATACATTTTATGACGATGCCTTATCTCGTTTTCGTCGGGATGTTGACAGGATCCTGAATGATTTTCGATCTGACGCTTTTAATGCTGGAAGATGGTCAAACAATTTATGGAGTCCTACAACCTATCGATCAGATGTTACTTTTCAACCTCGCGTTGATGGTAATTATTATCTCCTTTAGAAGGATTAGAAGGATCAGGAGTATTAGTGGATTGATTTTAATAATTTTCTATAATAATTTTCTTATACAGCCCGAGACGTTGGAGACGCTTTTGTCGTGCATGGTATGATTTATTATTTAGATGAGTTTTTTTTGTATAACCTGATCTTATTTATATTATGAACATAAGCCGAACTTCCCGGAGTTCCGAAAGAGAATATCAACCTCGATATTCGTGGTGACAATCTCATAATTAGTGGTGAATCTTCACGCGATGATTCTTATGATACCGGTACAGGATACGTTCGTGAACGTTCCTTCGGTCGTTTCTCGGTAAATTACATATATATATATATATATTCTTAATTTATAAACTTATGTGAATTATTCTGAATCATAATTTTATATACAGAGAACTATCCCTTTGCCATTTAATGTTAATACGGAAAAAGGTGAAGCTAAATATGACCGAGGTGTTCTAGAAATCAAGGTAATTCACATTTTTGTTATTCGCATCTTTTTGAATATTTTCTTTTCAAATATATTTATTTATGCGATATAAAATAATTTTCTTTTAAAATTTAGCTTCCGTACGAAGACAATGTTAACCGTCGTCGCATCAATATAACCTAAATGAAGCGTTATCTAACTTTGTTCCAAAGAGAAGTTTCATTCTATGCATTGTTTTTGCTATGTAGAGAATAGTTGATATATATTTATCATTATTTTCTTTTATTTGCTATATTTTGCAGTTGATTTTTTTTAAATGAAAAAAATCTTGCTTTTTTATTGCAAATAAATTGTTTCTGTTTTGCATGTTATATGTAAATCATATAATATGAAGCAGATGATCAAATAAAATTTTGACAGAAAAAATATTTTCCATGATTCTTGTATAAATATAAAAAAAAAAAGTCTATATATCATACTTTTTCATAGTAAACGTAAGACATAACTCATGTGATTAACTTGTTATTTGATAGCAAGACATAACTTGTTATTTGATAAATTTTCATGATGCATAACATTGTTAACCCTTTGGTTCTTTTAAAAATTTATCGAACATAAAACCATTTTATTTATGTTACTAGATCATAAAATTGTTTAGGATGGGAATTTTATTGAGCAGGCACAACCTTAACAGATATTCGAGTTTTTAAGAATTCAAACTACAATTTTTACTATTTAACGTAATCTTCACATCTTTTCGTTTACTTAGAGTTGTAATTTTAGTAAGCGTGTGATTTGTAAGAAACGTGATTATGATTCCATGTGATTGGTTGCATCAAAACTTTATGCAGAATCTATTGTATTCAATAATGCTAGCTGGGTTTTTTATAATGCTGGTATTTTATATCACGTGTGAGTACACAGCAAACCCATGCTTTGCGTATATAGAATACATATTCTCAAAGCATGGTTATGCTGTGTACTCACCCACATTAAATGTAAAATTGCAAAATTTAATTTTCAACTCTACGTTTACACTCTACGTTTACTTGGCTTAAAACAAAAAAGAAAAATAAATCCATTATTGGATGCTTCCTTCGGGGTCAGCATTAAATGCTGATCATCCCGTGATTCTTTGGGTCACATTCCTTGCATCCGAACCGATAACTATTTCATATAGACATGATAACCTTACCCATAATTCGGTCAAGTACAACCTGGATTTAATTACAAGTTATTATCGATGTAAGAAATCTTTGATATAAGAAACTCTTGATATAAAATCTACAGTGAAACAGAGCCATTTTTTTCAAATGTTTATTTAAATAGAGTAAAAAACAACTGTCAATAACTTACTTTTTTATTTTTCATGATACCAATTGGTTTTACAACTAGATTTTATCTTATAATACTTTAAAAAAATCGGCATAAGTTGTGTGAAAGGTTAGGTTATTACGAGCGCTTTACTTGTGAATTGAAGTTATTATTATTATTATTATTCAGGTCTTTCAGGTGAATCCTCACTAAGACATTCTCATTCTTAAATTTGAACACACTTTTCTAAATTTAAACTTGTATATTTATTAAACTTTCGAACTTTAAGATTTTTACTTAAAATTATCATAGATAAGGAATCCTAAAAATTTTATTTCCATTTTAATCAAATTGGAGTAACGATAACGCTCAAGTTTGCAGAATCAAAGAACTGGGTTTAGGGTTTAGCTTGGCAAATATTAATTATAAGCCGAACTTAGTAATTTGTACTATACTAAATATGTTGTATGTACATACGTTCTCTGAAGTTGACATTAAATTGAAGTTGTTGCAATTGACTGACTGAAACTTTGTCTCTGAAATTAAAACTTGAACGCATTATTATTATCTTGTAATTTTAGGTAGATGAACATAAGTTGCAACTTCGAGCAGGTGCTTAAACGTACCGGCTAGATGATTGTTTCTCCGATTACAATTTAAATCTTTTCCTTTATTGATATTTTTGTGTAAAGAAAATACAAGTTGTACGTAGTAACATGTGATAAATCAATTGGAGAAATATTTGGATAAGTTCGGTTGTACGATCTTTGTGCGAGGTTAATCATAAAAATTTTCTTTTAAAAAACCGTTTTTTTTACTTGGAAGCTCAAAATTTAACAAAACGTATATATTTTTAAAGATGGTAGACATTGCATTAAATCTCGCAGATGAATATTTTCTTGATGACATTTACGCTCGCTTTTATCCAATTACAGATAATACCACTACTACAAATTTACAAAGTGCACTTCCACGTGATAACATTTACCGACAATTCATATCACTTTTTTTCTTAACAAATTTCTTTGTATATTTTTTCTATTTTTTCTTTTCTACTTTATCCTACATTTTTGTATTTGACAAAGAATTAATGAAACATCCAAAATTTTTGAAAAATCAAATACGTAAAGAGATAAAACTTTCTACTACAGGATTCCCAGTCACCACTTTGGTAACGGTTCCTTGGTTTCTTGGTGAAGTTAGAGGCTATTCAAAATTATATGATAATATTAATGATTATGGAATATTATATGGAATATTTTCAATCGTACTATTTTTATTCTTTACTGATATGTGTATTTATTGGATTCATCGATGGCTACACATTCCGTTAATATATAAAATTTTACATAAGGTACGTACATATATAACTTTATATTATTTTAATTATTATTGGTTATCTGTTTCTAATAAAGTTTAATATTATTTTTAGCCTCATCACCGTTGGATTAGTATGTTTTTTTTTTATAACTAATTATGTGGAGAATTATATATATAAATAATAAATATATATAAAATATATATATTTATTATATTTATACATACATACTTATATATATATGCGCATATCATAATAGTTATATCTCGAGTTGGTTAAAAAGTATTATCAGAATCTGATAAACTTTATTATACGTCTAGTGTCAATAAATCTAAACCGGGATATAATTATGTAATACTTTGGTTCTAATCATTTATATTTTATTATTATCATATATAGTTCCAACACCGTTTTCATCTCATGCCTTTCATCCACTTGACGGATATTTGCAATCATGTCCATATCATCTATTTGTCTATTTATTTCCTTTGCAAAAAATCATTTATATAGGTTTATTTGTGTTTGTTAATTTATGGACAATCATGATTCATGATGGTAAATTTCGAATCTTGTTAATATTAATAATTTTATAAAGTAATTTCTAATAACTAATTTTTTTTTTCTTTTAACATAATAGGTGAATATATATCATCCGGATCATTTATCAATGGTGCTGCACACCATACACTTCATCATTTGTATTTTAATTATAATTATGGTCAATATTTTACAATTTGGGATAAAATTGGTGGAAGTCATCGATTTCCAGGTGATGAACAGTTTGATATTAAAAAGAAACGAGATAAAAAAGTTTGGGAAAAACAAGCTAGCGAGGTTGATACATTTGATGAGTATGGAAAAGAGAAAAAAAAAATTAACTGTGAGTATTTAATTCTATTATTTGATATTTATTGATATTCTATTCATTATTCATTAATATTTTATTTATTATTCATTAATATTTTATTTATTATTCATTAATATTTTATTTATTATTTATTAATATTGAATTGATCATTGATTCTTTTTTTTATTAAATTATAATTAGAAAAAAACGAATTATTTATCAAGAATTTTAGAAATAGCCATTTATTTGTTTGAATAATTATTTGTCAAGTTTTCCTAATTATACATTATTTAAATAAATTATTGTATCTTTAATAATAAATATATCAGATTAAATGAAATTTTATCCTATTTTAATTTAATCTTATTTTGATTTAAATTGCGTGTCATCATAACTTTTTTCGTTATCATTTAAAGTTTGGATTAGAATTAAAAGCACGAAAGGCTTAAAAAAGGTAGTCAAAAATTTACTTTTAATCCAATTTCATTTTAACTAAAAAAATAAAAGTTTAATCTATAGTTGGCATATGATTCCGTAATTTCAAATTTCACATTGTCGCATTAATTATCGTATAGTATTAACTATTCGTATACGTAATTTTTGATATTAACTATAATTTAATCATAAATTTAGTCGATGTTATGAGAAGTTTTTACAAATCGTTAAAATTTTTTCAATCGATTTTTTCAGCTGACAACTAATTATATAATTAATCAATTTCCATTTAATTAGGAATTAATTCTTTAATCAATTTATTGGTTTCTAATCGATTTTTTCAACTTTTCGATGTTTAATACTAGTCATAAGTAGTTATGAAAATTTTGTTCGAGGCTTGTAATAAAACATCGAACAAATTTGATTGTAATTCCTTATAGGCATTTAATAAATATTATTTATCGCTATCAAGCGTTTATTATTCTTTTGAACGCTATCAATAAATCATAATATCGGTTAAAACGAAAAAAACTAAAGGTTTACAGTTGCGAAAAAGCAGATTCTCAATTGCACTATTTAACATATAACTGTATAATGTGAAGAATCCATTTTAAACCATCGTATAGAAATAAAGTTACTCGTTCATAATACATAATTTAAACATAAACTAATATAGTAATTTATGTATTGAGATTTCTAATTTCTTAATTTTCGACATATTTGATTCTGAATTCTATTCTATCCATTGATTTTATTCTATATGATACAAGCTCTAAATTAGATTTTTTTTTTTTTTACCTGAAGTAAATATATATCCACATTAAAATTAGTAATGTTCCGACATCTATAATCTTAACAAATAGATACATTTCTTTAACACTTGTATAATACTAAGAAAAATTTACTGATTTATAAAATAATTAAATCAGATAATATAATAATATTATTAAAAAAGTACCGAATTTGATTATTAATCGCGCGTGCTATTTATTTATAGAATCGCGATTTTGCGAAAGCATCAAAACATACACGTTAACTAAAATGGGTGTTTTGATTCTAATTTGATGTATTAATTTTAAGACGTGTATGTGTTTTGATTCTAAATTTGTGTATTGATGCTAAGACGTGTGTGTTTTGATGACTGATCTCAAAATAATAGACGTGTCGATCGAAAAAAATATATAAGTGCGAATTGTTTTATTGATTTTGTCATTATTATCCTCCTTTTCTTTTTTTTTATTTCGAATAACATTTATATTACAAACTTTTCGTAGCTGGTATGTGCAAACCCATTTTTAAAGCCTTCCGTAACATTCTCTCTTGGCTTTAAGGTAGAAGTCGGTAAAAGAAATAGAGCCGCACTTACTACCAAAAGTCGGGAGAAATGGTACGGTTGTGCTAATTTTTCGCACCTCTGCCTAATTCGTTAAGTTTTGTAATAATAACTTATATGTTATTTGACAAAAAAAAGCAACCCCACGGAGGTAGATTAATTGTGATGCCGTGTTTGTTAAGATCAAACTATAGGTATAGTTATGATCTTCGTAACACGGTTCACATACATTTTTATTAAATGTATATATTAGAAATTGAACCCACGACTACCTACCGATAAACGGCGAACTAACAACTATACCATAAAGGTTTTAATAATGGTTTTCGTTTTTTTTTTAATTTTCTATTGAATTGCTTTTTTATTATTTTACTATAAAATTTTAATATTACATAGTTTTTTCTTATTCAAATTTTTCTATTAGAAAAGTAAAGAAAATTTTTTTTTAAAAAAATATTTTTTTAATTAAATTATTTAGTAATAAAACTTTTTCAGATTTAATAAATTTTTATTTATATGTATAATAAATATTTTTCGGTTTAAATATAATAAACATCTAATTTTTACTGTTATATGTAAAGTGCAATATCAAATGTTTTTGTTTTAATGAGTTAAAAAGTTTTTCGCCCAAAAATTTATTTATATATTTAATTAAGCTGTCTTCCGGCGTAGTTTTAAAGTGGCCGGAAATTTTATAATATAAAATACATTCTAAATTTCGTTTACCGAAAAAATGCACTGATTGGTAAATAATATTTAAACATGCATATTACGTTACCAGATCTACAATAAATAAAAAAACAGAATTTTTTTCATTACTATTGTTATTTTTTTTTGTTTTAAACCTAATTACAAGTTGAGCCTAGAAATAAAACACTGGCCGTCGGTTTCTGAATTCATAAGTGCGCTTATTTTTTATTTCTTTTTGAAACTTTTATTTTATAAGTCTCGGTTTTGTTGGACTTAAAAAAGGTAACTGAAATCTGAAATGGAATGCAATTTCGTTTGAAGTCATGCATATTTTCTTTTTTCATTAGACTTACCAGGGGTTTTTTTTTGTAGTCTCGATCAGTTAAAATCGGCGACTGGAACCCAGAATGGCACTCGGAAAATGTGTACCGGGTTTGCTTTTGAACTACGATTCAGATTTCAAGAGTAACACGATCAGGAAGATTCAAAACATACGTTCGCTCTGCCAAAAATCACTCATAACTCAAAAATCAGCATAAGAAACCACACATTCTGTGCTCTAACAAAAAGTTTTCGTTGGACAATTTTACTATCAAAACTACTTTTATCTAGCTTCTAACAACAAATTTAAGAATTTTGTCTGCGTCACAAACTCGTTAGACATTTTCTGAGTGCTCCAGAATGTGGTCAATACGTAATTTTTTTTTAGCACTGTCTGCTATTTTTTTTTTTTTTAACACTGTCTAATATAATTTTCTCTTTATTGTTTTCACAGTAAGTTCTAAGACGTTCACAACCGTTTTTTACGACGTTCTAAGCCGATTTGCTACAACATTTTGTGGTTGAAGTTTCGCATGATTTTTAGCGGTGATCTTTATGATTTACGGAATGATGATTGATCTATTGTGTTCTCTAAGAAACGACATTTATTAATTATATTTACGGTTAGAAGTTAGAGTTTGAGGCTAGGGTTAGTGGTAATGACAATTGTTAGTTTAATTATTATGATGGCATTTAGATTTTTGTACGTTACGAGTTACGCGTGATGATATTGATAGTGCGTCGACTGTATTTATCATTTACAAATTAAAGGTAATTTAAATTTGATTAAAATCGTTATCATTTTATTAGTTACTGTAATATGCTAATTGACTCATAATACCATAGGTTACAATAAATTACAAGATTCATTTCTTATTATTCTTGTACACCGTCCTACCAGAATCGTAAAACATATAATACACTGAAATATATATTACAATTCAAGACTATAATTCAACATAATTCGAAATTTTATCACTGATCACCTGCGAATAAAATTGATCGTAAGGAATAAAGTATTTGATGTAAATCAATTAATAACTATAAAAATTATTGCTAAATCATAACAACATATATTTAGAATTGGATAAACGTTACTAGTGAAATCGGCCAAGTGGTTATGTTGTAGGTTAATGTGTCGTTTATTGATCCGCGTTAATTTTGAATCGATGTGTTATTTACAGGGACCTGATCATTAAAGTCATTAAAATTATTTGTCTATAGATTAATTTTGATGATCGGGGTAGATTTCATACATACTGTATAAATTGTATTTGATTTCCCGTGACAATTAGCCAATCAGATTACATAATTTGATCGAACGAATTCATAATATAGATAAAACTTTATACTATATACCTGTATACTAGTAAACTTGTATCCTATTTTTTATTAATTATCCTTTATTAATTATATTTAATTACATAATCAAATAGAAATCATATATTACATATTTTAATTATTATTGCCTTTGTTAGAGACGCTACTACCTTTAAAATATAGACAATATCCTACTTAATAAAATTTTCTAATTGTTACTCACATTTGTATCCATCAAAGAAAAACTTTCAAGGAATTCCATTATTTATTTATATAAATTCTTATATAATTTTAGTTTTCAGTTATTACAGTCGTTGCACCACTATTTTTCATTTATATTCATTTACATTGTTAATTAATACTACACGTTTCTATCTATGATATTGTAAAGCCATATTAAATCTACTAAATATTAAAGTAATATAAATAAGTGTTAGAATTATTAAAGGAAGTAGTTTAAACTTAAATACAATAAGTTAACAGTTTGGAAGAGTTTTTTTTCAAATCTAAATTTACCTTAAACGTCTTGATCGTTCTTTTTTTTTGCCTATTTTTTCGCATTTAGCACTTGTATATAGTTAACATATATAGTAATAGTAATAAATAGCGAAATACTTGCTTCTAAGTAAAATAAGTCAGGAGGCAGATTCCTTTCGGATTCTTTTGCATAGTGAATATTAACGTTCTTTACAGCGATTTTTTTTGTGAGACGTTACGTTCTCCCGGGCAATTGATCTACATCAGCCAATCAAACGAATGTCTGCCCATGACCATATATCCGATGTTCATTGATGATCTAGCCAATTTAATAAAAAAAAATTTTTTGGTTTTTTATACAGTTTAAAGTACTTTTTATTCCCATGATTTTTTGAAACTCTATCTATCGAATTTATTAAAAAAGAAAGTTGTAAGAAAAGCTTTCAAATACCTACATTCCTTTAAAATTAATCAAAAATAATCATAATATTT